TATATATATATATAGCATATTTCCATGATTTAAAAAGTCGGGTTTTGAATTTTGTATAGTTTCATCGGTCTGTGAGTTAAATAAATTATCTTATAACAACATAACTGCTTGAGCTACATGCAGTCTAAATTTAGCCTGAACTATGCAGGGGGTTAATATGGCTTTATTACAACATAAGAACTAATTTGCCAAACTGGCATTACCCAGAGAATAAATTCTCCAACAGTGTTTCAAATTAGCTTAGCTTAGAATTAATTTTTTTTTATCTGTTGTTGTGCCTAAAAAGCACATTTTTCTGAATCACTAAAGACTTTGAATACAATTTCTTATAACTATTATAATACTTAACAATTAATGAACATATGTAGATTCAAAAGTAAAGATTTCTAAGTCTTTACATAACACAATAAAATAAAATAAAATAATAATTATTGATTAGACGTGTAGGACTGAACAGCATTGCTACCTGTTTTCACTTGCTGACAAAGCTTTACATGTTGATTATTTTTCATTTTTTTATGTTGGAGCATTATGAAAATCTTACTAATATTTCGTTTGTATCTAATGACTGCAAAGAAAACCATAAAGGCTTTCATGACATGAGCTTTGCTCGATGTCAGCGGAACTATGCAAGTATTGTAATTGCCAGTCTTCTCAGGAGTGGATGTTGCTGGAAAGTAATGTTTAGAGAAACTATAAAATAAGTACATTAGTACTTTTATAGGCTTCACCTAACAGCTTCCTAGTGATGCTTTGGGTTCATCAGGTAAAAATGTGTTAAAGATACTTTACAAGCTCAAAAATCTAAATCAACCACTGTTTTTTTTTGAGTGCACTATGTTGATGTAAATCGCAAATATATTCGCCTCTTTATTTTATCAGTTTGCACATAAAAAACATAATTAAAAACAAAATGCTGCAGATTTAATGTCCAACATATAAAATACTATTTTTGGATCTACTTTCACTTCTTTAGTGACGTGGTCTCACTGGATTATTGTCTTCTGTTCTAATAAACTATAGCTGAATGACTGATCAACACAAGCTGTTGTTCTGGTGTGCAGCCACTAATAGAGATCTATAGTTTGATGTCATTTTAAAGCAGCCTCTGTTGATTATGCAAGCATTACTCATTACAACAGATGTCCCATACTGACATCTGGTTGTATTTGGTCCCTTTAATTATCAATTGTTGCCATGACAAGAGCAGAGATAGTTGATTGATAATGTTAAAGTGGCTCAAGGTCATGTCAGGTGGGTTTGTCTGTAGGTCTTATTCACAAATGAATATATGAGAATGTTTGAAGCAGGTTTGTGTGGAGTCATGTGCAATTATCGTAAACTTTAATTGAATATTTTCAGCTTCTTAGTAGAAATATATATTTGCTGACATATTTTTTTCCCTGTCCATTCTGATTATTTTCTCTATTAAACAAGAATGTATCCATTTAAGATGTCAGAAATGAGCAAAAACACAAGTTGGCCTTTTAACTTCACTTTTGTGCCATCATTCCTGCTGATGTTTTTTGTTTTTGCTCCAGGTCTCGGCTCGCTGATTTCCACATGAACTGCCAGATGACGTCTCACACTGTCACCAGCTGCCCTCATGACAACTACAATGGCTGCCTCATGTCGTACGTTGGCCTCCTTGGTACGTCTGACAGCTGTAATTTGTGTTTTTCTGACGGTCTGAGTCAAATACAGAGCAGGATGACAGGACTGCGGTCTGACTGTTCCCTGTTTTCTGAGCCGACCTAAACGAGTCATTTGGTAAAAAGCAGCTTATGAAATATTTATCTGCCTAAGTGTGTATTTTGTGTTCAGACAAGAACGATGTATTTCAGCACATTTTAGCCAGTAAGCAGACTACAGGGCTCCTGAAGTGTACAAATGTAACTAATGTTGGGG